AAAATATATTTCTTTGTTTGATAATCATTTTTGGTCTGGTAGTAATACTGCCCATCTGTCTCTAATATAGAAACAACCTCAGCTGAATCAGAAATCATTTCTGTTCACTGGCCTGCAATTAGCACATCTTGTTTGTGAATTGGTGAACTGATTGGATGATCACCTCAGTGGCCCAGCAACTCCATTTGGAGCATGAATCTTTAAATCTGGAACGAGTGGGCACAGTCAGACGCACACGCAGATGGTGTATAATTTGTTGGAAATATGTTTGTAGGTCTTCCTCTTTTCCTTCATTATTTTATATCCATGAAGGATTTCTGAATTATACTCTGAACTAACTGTGTGAAATGCATTGCTGGTGTGTCTCCCTCACCTTCCCACCTTCCAACTGCTGGTGTAAACACAGCAGATTTATTCACGTTCACGAACACATATTAATCATGCATGTTTACTCAAACCCCTTCCTCACACCTTTATTACCTACAGCAAACTGTGGAAGAGGAATCTCTCATTTGTGTATATACATATACATATCCTTTTCTGTCCTCACTCTCTTTCTCTCTCAGGTCTCCCCCTCTTTCTCTTTTTGTATCTCTCTCTTTCTCCCTCTCTCCTTACTTTTTCTCTTTTGTTATGTCTCACTCTCTTACTCCCCATTTTCTCATTCCCTCTTTTTTCCTCTCTCATCTCCCTTTCTCTCATGTTTTCTTCTCTCTCTCTCTCCCTCTCTCCCTCCCTCCCTCTCTCCTGTTCATTCACGCTGTGCACATAAAGGCAGACGCTGATATCACCCCCTGCCTTTGCTTGCAGAGGAAAAAGGAAGCGTTCTCCATGTAGGCCTACACACCTGCTGCCTGGGGGATAATTGATCTCTAGAGAAAAAAGGAGAGTGCAAGCGAAGGCCAGGGATGGACAGATAATAGAAGAATGAATGGATGTTTGAATAAGTGAGAAGGAAGCAGCAAAGTACTTTTCATTTGAAGTGCAGCGAGGATGCCTGGCAGGCAGAACTATAAGGTGTGCAAAAAGGCATCTGCGCTGGCAGTGTGTGGAAACGCAGTAATTTCGTCTCTGATTGTAAATGCCCTCATTGTTGGCACAAGGTTAACAGGCTTCAGTATCACTCCTCTTTCTCTTCTCGAGTGGCAGGGATGCTCTTGGAGACCTACATGCTGAAAAAAGTATATAGGCTTCATTCTAATGTGGACATCATCTCCTCATATATAAAATCGATTACATCAACATAGTCTTGTCTTTCAGCTTACTATCCTCTGGCGACAGTTATGTTGCAGTATGTTTATCTGTGAAATGATAAGTAAATTCAGTGCCCTTTTTCAGTGGAGTATCATGTCTCTTATTGTTCACAAGCACCAACTCACATCTTGCGCTTCATTTTAAGAATCGTTTGGAGATACCTGATACTGTGGCTGACAGAGCTTATAAGCAACTGCTCATGTGGCATGACATAGCACTGTTTTTTAATGAGTCCTGTAGCAGCTTGCCAGGCCTCTTGTGTAAACTTTCATGAATAACTTATCATGGATAATGAAATGATTTTTTTAAATGCAACACTGTGCATATTGACAGTACTTTTAGGGGTTAGAAGTCGCAGTTATCACTAACAAAGACAGTATGTTCTAATTGTATCACTTATTTCTCTCTTTTAGCTAGGCTTCTGCGATAGGGTGATATAATCAGATATCTGTAGTGACTGACAAGTACACAGATGACGATGGTTCAAAGGCAGTAATTGCCGTCTGGGGGAAAAAGAAGTGATAGAAAACTAGAGAGGACTAATTTAATTTTTAACAGCTTGTTAAATTATATGTATACATAAGACACATGCAGTATAGTAAATTTTAGTAAAGGTATAGTAAATATCTGTGCTGTGAGTTTCCCAGAGTGTGACATCCCGTCTGAGGAAATTTTCAGCATTTTCTATACAGATTAAGTGTACTGATGGTTCAGATGAGTAGTAAAATCATGAAAAAGTAATACTTCTTGGTTTCTCTCAGGTGTCTTTAGCTGAATTCCAGAGCACCTCCACTATAACGACCAAAAACAAATTGTTTTTTTTTTTAAAAGAACATGGATATGGATTTGTGCATGTTTAGCAGTTTATAGCTTGTCAAGCAGTTATAGCTGTTAGCACATATGTAGTTTTGTGTGCATCCTTTAAAAAGAGGAAACAGCCGTGAACCAACACCAGTAGAAGCTCACAAATCTACATGTATGCAGCCTCAAATTTCAAAACGAGATAAAATACTTATTAACTAAGATGTTGTGTTACTCAGTTGTGTATATTTATATATGATTTTATTTAATATTTTCACTGAATTAGTTAATGCTTAAAAAATGTAAGCTAAAGGTAGCACAGAAAGTAGGTCTAAGCTTGAGCAGACTGTGTGTCTGCGTGGGGGGGGTGGAAGGGCAATCTTGATATATAGTGCTGTAGTGTGTGTGTGTGTGTGTGTGTGTGTGTGTGTGTGTGTGTGTGTGTGCGCATATAGCATACACAAGAGAGTAAATATCATGCTAATTGTTTTTAGATATCACCCATTCCCATTAGTTCACTAAAACATTGTAAACGTTCAGTTGATAACATATTTGTGTTTGTAAGCATAAAAGGAGATACTAAGTTATTATTGTGTATAAAATCTTGTTCTTCAGAAAGAAAAGACATTGTTTACATTTTTGCCATGTTAGTCATTTTTTGAATTTCATTGAAATTCAAGTCAGAAGTGCAGACTTAAACCTGTTGATAGAGATTGTAGCTCAAATTGGATATTAAGTATGTTTTATAAATATAAATTATGTAAGTTCATTTAAAGATTAGAATAAAAATGGCAGTAATGCATAGACCTTTAGAGGTTAACGTAGCTCCACAATAGTGAAAGGCAGAAAAATATTTTCTGGGTTATAGGGAAGAGACAAATGTCAGGTTGCCGGTTCTGAGATAAGGGAAGTTGTTGGCTTGGAGTTGATTGAGAGCGTGGGATTTGGGCTCTGGGCCAGTGAGATAGAACTCTGCCTCAGCCATTTCCTTCACAGTGTTGTTATTTGTGTTTGCTGGGTCAGTGACAGGGTTGGAGGATTTGCAGGGTCAAAGACTCAGAGGGAAAGGAAATGTCTATCAGGTCATCCTCATATGAGCATGAAATGCTGAAGTATAGAACTAATCCATGGCTCCTCTTCACCCTCTTACAGAGGTGCAGTATTGTGGAGGATTCTGTTGCTTGTGTGTGCGCTTTTACAGAAAGTGTGGAGATGACTATGATTCATCTGAACTAAATGCTGCCAAAAAGCCCTTGTTTTCCCCCAACTCCTCACACTCCTGATCCTTCAGTGTGGAAGATTGTCTATTTTAGGGTACACTACAAAAACAGCAATTCTGAAGCACCCAAAAGCTGCCATACATAGAAAAAAATCGACAAGTGCTTAGAAATTTCATGATAATGTTGGAAACACGTGTTGTACTTTAGATGCAGATGTTTTGGAAACGTAAGAATATTTTCTGGAACACATAAAACAGGAATTTCCAAGAATCCAGAGCTTCAAAAATCTTTCAAGTGCTTTTTCAGGGTTGGTTCACTAAAACAGAGACAGAAATCAGCATTTTTCAGATGTTGGATCATAATTGAGATCAGCTCTCCTCCACCCTGCATGGTCTGTTTATTGTTTTCATCAGTGCCAAACTATATTCAAGTCTGATTCCAGTTTTCCTTTTTATGGCAATTAATGTGGCGCAGGCACTTGTTTTCATCATTTTTCATTTTCCCTCTCACTCTTTTTTGTGTGAGCTCATTCAGTGGAATGTCAGTGTTCCCCACTGCACTTATTTTTAGCTCTCAACGTGTGCAGCAAGGCCTGTGCTTCACTTGCTGGCACCGTTTTAACACTCTCGTTGCAGATAAACATCTGTAAGCCTCACTCTCAGTCATTCTGTACTTGCTAGCAGTCATTAGATCTCTAGGAGCCTGACTGAGTCACTTTAAATTGTAATAACACTATAAATATTAAAATGAAATAAAGCATACTCATCTCATTTATCTGATGATATTGGATGTGTGTGTGATTTATTAGCATATTTTCTTTCAAAGCACGCATGAACTCATCAGTGTTACCTTCACTTCCTTTTCTTTGGCCACTGCTGCTTGATGTCCACTCCTTAAAGGAGCATTCAGTGTAGAGCTGGCCATTATGCTGTGCTGCCCGGCCCACTACACTACAGAGTGATTCATGTCATGAAGGGCTTCATTATTTAGTTTAAGAGATTAATTGGGTGTGTCAGGGAAAATACTAGACTGCAGGGCAGCAGATCTCCAGGACTGGACATGCCACCTTAGCGCTTCACAGGTGGCACAGTTATCATAGACACTGTAGGGATGCTTGCCTGGACGTAGATTAAGTGTAGTCTTGGACTAAATTGTAGTGGCAAGAGTGAATATCTATTGGAAATTCTTTTTAGTCTAGGATTAGGCTTAATAGTTTCCTAGACATGGATTAAGCCTGGTCTTGCCGTGCGAAAGGTGATTCAGTGCCAGAAATTCTTTTTAGTCTAGATTTAGGCTTAGGCTTATATCTTGATCTGGGAAAGTGTCCCAGTGTCTATAAAGACATCATATGGCTAGACTACTTTGCTTTCAAAGTTCTTTTCAGTTTCTATCTGTTGTTTTGGGCTCCAGCTACAGGAACACATCAGTTCAATTTACTTTGTGGTAAGCATTAGGCTTAGTTCAGTGGTGGTGATCTAAAGTTGTATATGGTCGGATTTCTGCACATTTTGGTAATTTTGCTGCTCAACCATATCAGATTCTATGAATTATCAGGTTTAGTTGTGGAAAATCACAAAATTGTTCTGGTTTCCCGACATCCAAGATTGGAGTTGTTTTAAAGTTGACTCTTGAGTGTTTCTCTCACTCTCTCACTCACTCACTCACACCCTCTCTCTCTCTCTCTCTCTCTCTCTCTCTCCGTCTCTCTCTCTCTTTCTCTCTCAGTTTGAAAGCTGTCCTTTCAAGTCCACCTGCCAGTGGGACGTTAGACCTATCTGGCATTCCTCTGGGGGTGAAAGACATGGAGCGGTTGTGTTCGCACCTGCAGCGGCATGCATCTCGCATCTCCAGCTTGGAGCTGGGCTTTACTGAGCTGACGGACGAGGCCTTCCTGCTGCTCTTGCCCACACTGGCCGCAATGCCTCACCTAGAGACCCTGGCCCTCAACGGCAACCGTCTGACGCGGGCTGTGCTCAAAGAGCTCACTGACACGTTGAAGGATCCAGAGAGCTTCCCCAGCGTCACCTGGATCGACCTGGGCAACAACGTAGACATCTTCTCCCTGCCCCAGCCATTCCTGGTGAGTTTACGTAAGCGCTGCCCCAAGCAGGGCAACCTGCCCACTATCCTGGAGTTTGGAGAAAGCCAGGCCAGCGAGCCAGAGGTCCGGACAGATGGGGATGGAGATGATGATATAGATGATACAAACAGGACGGTAAGCATGGGAGAACTAAGGTCTGAAGTTGAGGGCGACATGGATGGAGAGATGGAGATAGAAGAAATGATGGAGGAGCTGCTGGACTTTGACCGGGAGATACAAGGAAAAGATGAGATGGAGGAGGACAGCATGTGGACCATGGAGGAGCCAAGGCCCGCCGCAGGGCCGTCTCAAGGACGTGGCAAAGCGAAGAGGGCGGCTAAGGCCGAAGGAGAGGACACACACAGCCAGAGCTCGCAGCTGTCGTGCTCCAGTCAATCACAGCACTCTTCAGCGGCCTTGGAACCTCTGAGAAACGACTCCATGGTGGATCAGGTGGCGTGTTCTTCAGGCAACCTGACCTGAGTGCACTCTCTTTACCTAGAAATTGCAGCCTTTAAACCTCTCTTGTCCAAAGGGAGAAGAAAAAAGAAGACAGAAGAGACTCAGCGCAGCTCTGGACAGTTTATGGGTCAGCGCTTCAATCAAGAGTGAAGGGTATCCAGGAAATGAGGGAACAGATTCTGTGGCTTTGACAGTCCTTGCTTAAATATAAGGGACAATGTGTCAAATTAATGATATATTGTGAGTATCATTCGGAAAATTACAATGTATACCACATATGAGGTACAACAATTATATACACTGGTATATTATATACACTTTACAATCCTGTGCAGTTTAAATGCTTCTCTTTCAGGTATAGCCCCTTGGATATACTGTCCTAGCAGCGGACCTTTATAGGGCTGTCACTATCAATTCCATTAGTAATTGAGTGATGTATGATTATTTTGATGATTAATTCATTAATTATATAACAAACAATAATAATTGATTTAACAATAACAATCCATGCATAACCATTCAAAGATTCTAAAATACTTAATTGGTTCTCTTTTAAAGGCTCAAATACTTTATTAACTTTAAACATAAAGTAGGAGGGCTTTAAAATGATTTCATTCATAAAAATTATAAGAACTATGGAGAACAATACATATATGAGGTGATATGCACTGTTATCTTGCAAATCGCCAGCTAATCACCACTGAACGATTCAGTTTAAGGATTGTAGGCCGATGCCGATATCTGATATTTTTCTTGTGCATATCTGTTGATGCCAGTATCAATGCCAGTACTTATACATTTATAAAATAGAAATAGAAATTGGGACTAGATCTACCTGGATTAGCATTATGTAGAAACACTTTATTTCTAGAAGGTTATAAATGCAGTAAAATGAACAAAATGCAGATATTTTAGGGCACTAGCCCAGCACCGCCTAAACATTCTGCTCTTTTCAAGTATAATAAATACAACACCAAATATCGGTTTGAAATACTGGTTAAATCCTAACATCTGTCCAGTGCCAATACATTTTTAAGCAGAGATACTGATATGATGGTGATATTGTGCATCTCTAATTTTAATTGATGTTTTCAAAAATGTAAAATTCGAGTTCAATCAATTAATCGTGACAGCCCTAGACATTTACCTATGTGCCTGCTTGACCCTGCTGGAGAGGAACGTGTGAAAATGTGTGTGCTTGTGCATGTACGGTAGTATGAATATGAATGCGCTCACACGCTTTTCCATTGCACACAGTGTGAGATATGGAGAGGCGATTAATGAAAAAAACTGACTTGCCTGAGATTATAAGTCTAGCTCAGGCATGTTTAAAATTCTCTCCGTCTATGCATCACACCCTCCTCCCCAGCAGCATTAAACCTGTTCAGCTTCTGTTGAATATGCATGTCCCCAGTGTCCGAATGCACTTTAACTTTAGAGTGCATCTGACAAAACAGAGGGAAAACCAAATATTTCACACAGATGCCCCCCATGTAGAAAAAACAGTGCTTTATAAAGAAATGGCACCAAAGATGGAGAAAGAGAGAGTTAGTCTCTAAAAATCAAGATACAAACACAATTGCAAAAAAGTTGGGACAGTATATATACTGTAGCTGAATATGGTCATGCTAATAAAGCTTATTGAACTGAACTATAATGTCAGTAAAAACAGGAAGCAATGGTTAGTAAATTATGTTTGACCTGTACTGAAATGAAAACAATATTTGATGTTTTATCTTATGAACTTTATTGTTTTTAATATTTGTAACTATATGCTCAGTCCAAATCCGATGCCTGCAACACGTTCCAAAATTTGAGACAGGAGCATGTTTACCCCTGTATTACATCACCTTTCCTTCTAACAGGACTTAATGATCATTTGAAAGTGGAATTGTTAGCGATTCTTCTTATACAAGTCTTAAGGTGCACAACCATTGTTGTATTTTGCACTTCATAGTGCACCGCGTTTTCAATAGAAGACAGACAGGCCAGTCTAACACCCGCACTCTCTGATTACATAGCCATGCTGTTGTTAAAATAAGCATGGACTTCCCTGAAAAAGATGGCATCTAAAAGGGACAAAAATGTTACTCCAAAATGTGTATATATATTTTGGTGTTAATGGATGTTTTTATGGATGTGCAAGTTACCCACTAATATCCTCCATCTTATGACAGACCTGGCTTTTGTACTTTACACTGGTAACAATCTGGGTGGTCCTTTACTTCTTAGGCCCAGCGAATGCAACATCCACTATTTCCATAAATAACCTGAAAGGCTGATTGGTCAGACCACTATACATGTTTTGACTGTGCGTTAATACATTTTAGATGAGCTCAAGCCCAGAGAAATCGGCAGTGTTTCTGGACATTGTTGATGTGTTTTCCGCTGTGCATAGTATAGTCTTAAGTTACATTTGAGGATGCAGCTACGAACAATGTTGCTGTGATATCCATCACAGAAGCATATTGGCTTTAGGCTTAGGCTTTCAGTTCTGGTCTTTGGCCTTGCTTTTTATGCACCAAGATTCTTCAGGATTCCTTGACTCTTTTGATGATATTATACACCATAGAGGGTAAAATACCTAAACTTCTTGCTATCGCCAGCTGAGGAACATTAACTGTTGGACTTTGCAGAAGCATTTTTGTGAAAGTGGCGAGCCTCGACCTACCCTTGCTCATGAAAGACTAGGCCTTTCCTGGAGGTTCCTTTTATACCTAAACATGATTACATCATTTACAATATTTAATAACATTCCTAGTCTTAAATCACCCCATCCCAACTCAATTTCAGAATGAGCATATACATACAAAAACAGTGAAGCTGATAAGATAAAACATTATATCTTGTCTCTGTATTGCTTTCATTTAAATACTGGCCAAGATGGATTTACAAATCACGTCTTTCTGTTTTTATTTGCGTTTCACATACCGTCTCAACTTTTTTGGAATTGTGCTTGATTTAAAATGATTTCATTAGCTTGAATGGTGACAATTAAACCTATCCAAACGTTGCTCTTCCTTTTATATGGACATTCTAACTTCTCACATTTAATTGCTGTACAATTGCTATTTATTTGTTATATTTTTAATCATCCAGCCCTTGTATTAGGAAGTTCTGTGTATTTAATTGGTATATCTATTTAGCTATTAAGTACTATAGCCTAGATTTTTTCACAGAGACTTTTGTTCAATTTGAGCTTTCACTGAAATGTACTGGTAGTTCCAATATGTTTGAAGTTAAAGTAAACTAAATCCATGTATTTTTACAGTATCTGAATCCTGATAGGTAATTTCCCTTTAACAGTTTATGATATGGTTTATACTATCCATTAAACTATTAAATGCAAAATATTTCCTATCCCGTTGTGAATAAACCATTTTGAGGTCTTTCCATGTCATTCTGGAGGTAAATGCTGCTCCCTTACAGAATGTATGTAATAAATGTTGTCCAATTTTGCAGGGATGCAAATCACACTGTCTGTTACTGTAGTCTTATTGTAACCTCATATGGTTATCACAGGGCATTTCCATCATGACACAGTTATGAAATAATTGTGTTATCAAAGTAGAATATAATGGGGGTTTTGGAATATTCTTTAGCCTCAAGCCACAGCCAAAAGTTATAAATTAAACAAAATAAAAAAGAAAGAAAAAAAGGAGAAAGATAAACACACAGGACTATCACTGCATGTCTTACATAGCCTGGTAAAGTAACCAGTGCATCCCTTTACAGCAGACTGTCCAGTATTTTAAAGAGCCTATACTTTACATATTTCTAATATTTCACTCTTTCCCTGAGGTCCACTTTTTTGCATTTGTGTTTTTTTTTTATGTACCACAAAGTCATAATTCATTTTTACATGACCATTTTGCAACCTCTTTTTATTCCTAAGAAATAAACAGACTGTTTTTGTTACTGTTACTTTAATGCTCATGTAATAATACCTGAAATATACAGAAATATGTTATGATTGGCTGCCTTATATTGTGCTTCACTCAGAAAGCAGTGCATACTGAAACACCCCGTATTAGCTACTTCAACCTAAAATGTGTAGGGCAAAACTGAATTAGCTGATTTGTGTAAACCCTTTTTACACAGTTTTTATAGTCAGGCTGCTTCACTTAAGTTTCATATCAGTATGAATATCTGTTGAAAAAATGAATACTGCACATTGCAGTGATTTGGTATGATTATTAGTTATGATTAACCATATTGAGCCAGTCTATAATTTTCTTCTAGTCTTTTTTGTTTTTTCAAACACTTAATGAAAGTAATAAAACTTTAGAAATACAAAGCCAGGTTATTAAACAAGTTCTGCTTTTATACAAATCACCTATTTATGTTTGCCTTAAAACTACATCAAAATGCATTTAAGACCTTTTAAACAAATGTATATAACACCCCTGCTTATTATAGAAAATGACTATAATGAGCTGGCAGGAAACTCAGGTCTATGTTCTCTGCCTGTTTATCACCCTCACCTGGTCAGCAATAGCCTGGAGCAGTGGTCACCAACCCTGGTCCTAGAGATCTACGTTCCTGCAGAGTCTAGTTCCAACCACAATCTGCCACACCAGCTCCAGCTAATTAACTTCTTAAGAAGTCCTTAATTGCTGGATCAGATACATCAGTGTTAGATGAGCACTTCAGATTCAGCCTGGAACTAAACTCTCCTGCAAGGATTGGTGACCACTGGCTTAGAGCTAAGTGTGCAAAACATCCATTGGAAAGAAAAGATCTTTCAATTAAATAAGGATTTAGTGACCACAGATGAAGGACTAGAGGATGACCAACACGAATTGTGCAACAACACAGGAGCTACTGTCTCTGACTTTACATCTACAAAGTGGATCAACAAGGTAGGTGTGTCTAATAGTGTGGACAAAGCAACAGATGAACTATATTGTCTGTAATTGTAGAACTGCTAAGTGCACCTATATGGTAAGCAAAGCGAATAAATTAGACAAATAGGTGCAGAAAAAATGAGGTGGTTTTAATACTATGGCTGATTTGGTGTAACAGCCAACTGCAGTCGATGGTGACATCCAGTGGCGACTCAGGGCATTGCATATCTCACAATCCTGTGAATGAAAAAAATTATGATCTATTACAGCATAAAATACGTCAATAAAATGAGTAATTAGTTAATACAAAAATTAAAACATAAAAAATACAAAATTAAATTAAGCAGACTGATGGATTGATAGACAGACTGACGGACCCGCACAGTTGAAATTCTAATTTAGTCAACACACAGAAGAATCTGCATATTTACATACGGAACAGGGAGACATGTGAAAACCTAATAGGTACTTTCAAGCTACCTATACTTTATTTTCAATCACTTGTCATCGAGCAGTGTCTGGATTGCAGCATTAGTTCTACAATGGTTTTATTTTATCTAACGTTATTTCAGTTTGGAGGCGGGTGGCTTTCCCCGTGTTTGTTTTTCTTCGACAGTTCGAGCTCCCCGTTCTTCTATATATATTTTGCGCGGTAACTCCATCAGTATGGCTATTTATGGAAGCCTCGGGCATTGATTGTGGTACAAATGTAGGCTACATTGCATCACATCCGGGAAATAAGGGCAAAAATTGTTGCCCCAGTCCGCCATTTCAAATATTTGAACTTCCCCCAGTGACAACTTCTTGGTGAAGGAGTCGTTCCGGACAGATCATCTGGTAATCCGGGACCGCGGCCGTGCCTTTATTCTCATCAGCACATGTGCTGGGGGGTCTGAGCGCTGTTTTACTACGTGCTTGTGAATAAAGGCGGATGCTGTGCACGGTCGGAGCGCGTTTAGCGAGGGCAACGCGGTGAAGCGGTTATCATTATTTTTTGTATGAGTTGAAGGCTGGTTGCGGATCCGCAGAGGCGAAGTGGAAGGCCGGTGAAAAGCCTCGGCTTTTGGGTGGCAGTCATGGCCGGGAATTTTGACGCCGAGGACCGTGGCAGCTGGTACTGGGGAAGATTAAGCCGACAGGAGGCGGTTTCTCTCCTGCAGGGACAGAGGCACGGTGTCTTCTTAGTCCGGGACTCTATCACCAGCCCGGGAGACTACGTGCTCTCCGTTTCAGAAAACTCAAAAGTCTCGCATTATATAATCAACAGCATCAGCAGCAGTCGGCAGTCCGCTCCAGGTAAGGCAAGCTAAGCTAAGCTAACTAGTGAACGCACAACGTCAATCCCAGCACTGTGCTAACATTAGCTGCTTTTTTTTCTTGGTAAAATTTGCACACGCCTCTCCGGCAGGCTGCTTATGAGCTAACTACGTTGCAAACTGAAATGTTTGTCATTTTATTCCCAGCATATCGTTTTACTAACTGCACTTCTTTTTTAATTTATTCATTTTGACAATTTTCTGGCTAGCGTTAGCTGCGTGCTAGCTAGCTGCCCTCCGCGGCTAGCAACTACATGCAGTAGTGCACACAAATTTCGGAGCAGTTTGTGAAAACGCAGTTAGCTGTGAGTAGTGACTAAGATACATTATCGACAGTTTAAGGCCTCTGACATTTCCTGTTCAAATAATGACGGTTATGAATTTAATTTTCTGGACCGAAAACGAAAAGGAGCTAGCTTTGTTAGCGAAACAAATACTAGGCAGTCAGGTAGGGCAGGTCTTCGCTCAGTGGACCGTGAGAGACGTGATTGAGAGGAGTGCAGTGATTTGCACACGTACAGATTTGCCTATGCCTGGAAAAATAAACAATTAACGTTAGTTGTGAAAAAGTTCGACATTTATCTTATAACTAAGTGTGTAGCTCATCTCTCCAACTCATTCATCATCTTTCATGCATACAAGCACTAACTGCTGCTCTTGTACCCCCATTCAGGACTGACTACCTCGCGGTTTCGTATCGGAGACCAGGAATTTGATGCCCTTCCAGCCCTGCTGGAGTTTTATAAAATACACTACCTGGACACCACCACTTTAATTGAGCCCATCAACAAAGCCAAGCACTCGTCACTCATCAACGTCAGCGCGGGAACTGGGGGGGCTCCTCAGAGGCTTGAGGAAGAGTTTGTTCGTGCTCTGTTTGACTTCCCTGGCAACGACGATGAGGACCTTCCGTTTCGAAAAGGTGATGTGCTTCGGGTGCTTGAGAAGCCGGAGGAGCAGTGGTGGAACGCTCAGAATTCAGAGGGCCGTGTTGGGATGATCCCCGTACCCTATGTGGAGAAATTCCGGCCTGCTTCTCCAACGTCCGGGACCCTGGGCAGTGGGGGGACGGGCACCGTGGGTAATTCAGATGGCCACAATTCCCAGTCCCCTCCTCTGCTTGGTGAGCCAGGCCAGTATGCCCAGCCAACGTCTTTACCCAACCTGCAGAACGGGCCTGTCTTAGCCAGAGCAGTTCAGAAGAGAGTGCCCAATGCGTATGACAAGACAGCTCTTGCTTTAGAGGTACATAGTTTTGTCTTTCTCTAATTTAATCATTGTAATATATACTGTAGTATGATTTGTTTGCCTTTTCACAAAGCAGTTGAATACATTTTAATCCATGTCCACCATTATCTAGTCTTGTTGTTCTTACACTGACACTGTGATGTTTTGATGTAGGTTGGCGACTTGGTGATGGTGACCAAGATCAATGTAAATGGGCAATGGGAGGGAGAGTGCAAGGGAAAGCGAGGTCATTTTCCCTTCACGCATGTCCGCTTACTGGATCAGCACAACCCGGAGGATGACCCAAGCTGAGAGCGGAGACTGACTTCCCTGTACAGCCCTTAGATGCGCGCGCACACACTCTCTCTCCTCACATCTCCTCATAACT